GAGGTTTGAATTGGAATATATTCTCCCAAGATAGAACGATTCTATTCACCAGTGTATTGATACCTAAAACAATGGTGTCAACGAGCCACTCAGTGACAATAAAGTACACGAATAATAAATTTGTGCAGAAGAAGAAGAAGTTCAGAAAATTTGTAAGTGAAAAATCTAAGGATTCACATGTACTTATAGCCAAGAAGCACTGTCTGAAAGGTTGCAACCTTTCAGAAACCACACGACCATTCATGAAAGTTTACAACCTTTCAAATGGTCATAGCTGTTTCTGAAAGTTGCAACCTTTCAGAACAGTCATGTCACGACCCGGACTGTTGTGATTGACACCCACACTAACCCTCCGGTGGGTAACCCAACTAACAACTTAACTAAAAATTAAGGCATTTAAAGATACGGAAGTAGGCTTAAATGACGATAAAAATGGAGTCCCCATAAACTCCAAAGGTTTAAACAATTAACAAACCAAACTAATGTAGAAATTCAACCCCTAGAACCTGAAAGTCATTGTACCAAAACTCTATGAACGACAAGTCTAAGAACAAGGGATACAACCCCAAAACTAAACAAACACCTTTAACAAATAGTCTGAGTCCGAAGAGAGTGGACTTAAACAAGAAAGATCCATGGCAGCCTGAAAGAACTGGCTCACCCTTGAATCCGGTCACGCTCAATAGTCACCTAGCTAAGGTCTAACAATAGCCTGAAGATGCCCTGTACTCAACAAAGAACAAGCAAGTGCAGTATCAGTGCACAATCACAGTGTACTGGTAGGATCACGTGTCTATCCCAATAAGTGAAACACATGTAAGTAACCACAATCATTATAAAACAGGATATATTGAACATATACAATGTTAGTCAACTATTACGAACAGTTTCACAATTCTCATACATCACAGTTATATCAATTTAGAGCAACATTCCATCTTCTAATATCAATCATCATTAGATATGAACGAAATCATCACAAGTAGATACACAACATTATTCAATGGTCCTCTCACAGAACCCAATTCAATGGTCCTCTCATGGAACCCACACTCAAACTGTTAGTGTACCGGTTTGTAGTACCCGATCCAATGTTTATACCGGAACGTGACAACCGATCCCATAATTATGTCGAAACGTGACAACCGATCTCATATTTATGTCGAAACGTGGCAACCGATCCAAGTTAGCCTGTCGGAACGTAACACCTGATCCATTCAACAAATCACAATCACAATCACAATGTATATTCTCACAATCATACAACAAGAAGTGATTCATAGCATACAATTATTCAATTATCCTCATTTACGATTAAGGTGATCAATAATGCAACATTTGCATACACACATGCATTATAATGAGCAATTACAAACATATATCACACCAACATGAAATCACAACCATCACCTACCTCGAATCCAAGCTTGAATCCTCTAAGGCACTTGACTCTTCCTTTTCGGATTCTTCCCGCTTGTTCGTGGTCTAAAAACATACAATTAACGCAAAGATCAATAAACGAGGTCTAATTACCCGGATTATAACCAACATCATCAGCCCTAGACCAACCCAAGATCCCATTACCCAAATTAGGGCTGTTCCCACCATCCAAACAGTTCCAAAAACCCTTCCCTAACAATAATCACCCAAGAGACCAAGTTCTACGGATGAAAAAATGGATTCAGGGAGTGAAAACCTTACCTTTAGCTCTCAAGTTTCTCAAATTGTAGAATAATACGATTTTTGGGTTTATTTTCGACTTTAAGTCGCGTTTGTCCCACTACGGCGGGACCCATCCCGCTACAACGGCAGCCATCCCGCTACGACGGCATGCATGGAGATAATATGCTGGAATTCGAATTCCAAGCCCCCATTTCACAACACACCCTCAACCCTTGACATTCAAAAACCACCCGTTCACGCTAAGATCATTTTCGGGAGTTCTACTCGCCCGAATTCAATTTCGTAAAGTCGTATGGGTTTCGTAACGTCTTAGCTATCTATTCATGTAATCAAAATCATAATTACATCACCAATTGTTACCAGATTTCCCTAGACTTTACTGACTTCGATTTCGTCCAAATCTGGACTAGGTTGGGAAATTTCAAGTTACTACGAAAAGTTTTACCCCAACTCTTTCTCCATAAGCTTTTCCCTAACGACGGAATCAGGTCATTACAAGTCATCTCCAAAAGTGGGAAATTCAAATAAAACGGAAAAGATGTTTTAAACACGGGTAGCGCGATTCTGAGTTGGATCAGGTCATTTCGGCTAATTATTTAAATAATTAAAACGTTTTGGTCATTTAATTTAATTAATTAAATATATAATTAACTAAATAATTAAAGAAAAACTTTGTTAAAAAAATAATCTCTCGATCAATCATTTTCTAAAGTCAAAGCCGAAGCCGAGTGACGTTGACGCGAGTGGGGTCCCTCTTTCCAACCCTTTTAACAACTAGTAGAAGTATTTCTCTATTTATTCATGTACTTTACTGTCGTTGAGTGGCTCGCTGACACCATTGTTTTGGGTATCAATACACTAGTGAATAAAATTGTTCTATCCTGGGATGATCTATTCCATTGTAAACCTCATAAACTAGAGGGGAATAATTTCCTTAAGGGGACACTGTGCATTCAGTGAACTCAATTTTCTTTCCTTTCTGTTTCATAGTTTTACGGATATTAATTTTTGTTAATGTTATCAATTTCTTTTAATGTTATTAATTTTTGTTCTTCACTACATGATTTATAAACTTTGGAGTTATACTGTTTCTGCAAAGTTTAGTTGTCACTAGTATTGGTTTTAAATACAGATTGCATAACAGATAAAATACACAACGATTTTGGTATGTTTTACTGTTATTAATTTCTGTTAATGTTATTAATTTCTATTATTCACAACATGATTTAATTAAACTTTGGAGTTTTATGTTTCTACAAAGTTTTGTTGTCATTATTATTGGTTTTAATACAGATTGCATAACAAATAAAATACACAATGATTTGCAATTTGAATTCTACATTGAAGTAAATTGTCTTAGTACAATATCTCTTTAAAATAGTTAGTAAAATAAAAACAAATTGAAGAAAGGTTTTACGTGATATTATTATCCTTATTTCTTATATATTTGTTTATCTGAAAAATTGTGTGCGTGTAAACTAAGTTAAAATAGGTAAAATGGGGGTAAAAACATGTGCATTAGGTCCAATCACGTTTTCTTTTTTATTTTATGGTTAGAAGCTAATGATAAAAACAAACAAAGCAATGACAATGACTAGAAGTGAAATTGTTTGTTAATATCAAGATCAAATAAGAAAGAAAGAAATTATGTATTTAGAATCAACAAACTTGTTACAAGTGAGAAAAGATAATGTTCATTTATTTCCATATTTTGAGGTTGACTAGTAACTTTTTCATTACCAATACAATATTTTTTTAGGTATTACGAGCAATCCCTTTCGGAATTTAACATTATGTAGATTTTTCTTAGGCTACTTCAAGATAATTTTTATATTTATAGAATTTAGGGAATGACTTTTCTATGTAATTATACTCTTTCACAATATTTTTTTAGGTATTACGAGCAATTCCTTCGGAATTTAACATTACGTAGATTTTTCTTAAGCTACTTCAAGATAATTTTTATATTTATAGAATTTAGGGAGTGACTTTTCTATGTAATTATACTGTTTCACAAACAAATAATATATGTTCAGCTTTAGACCTCCAAATATCACAACTTAACTCTACAAGAAACTTGAACTTGCTTGTCTCACATGGCTTGTTGCAACTCTTAGGGCATGTTTTATCACATGAGATAAAATCATGATATGATATTATTTGAGATAAAATTAAATCTTATTTGGACATGTAATTTGAATTATTAAATTATTACTTTTAGCCCATAAAAATAAAAACTTCATAAGTTGTGAAAACTATCGAAATTATCCAATTCTTTATACAATATGACAAAATAAGAAAAAAATTATAACAAAAGTATAATACAGTATCACACGCAAGGGTGTGGCCTTGTGATAAATGAATTGGTTGAGAGTCATGAGGTCTCATGTTTGAATCCTAGCGGAGACAAAAAAAAATACTAGGTGATTGTTCCATCTGTTCTAGTATTGGTGGTGGGAGGTGACAAGTATCTAACAGAATCAGTCAAGGTGCGCAAACGCTGACCCAGACACCATAGTCATAAATTTTAGTATAATACACTCACAAAGTTATTCAAAAAAAAAAAAAAACACACACAACAATTATTAATTGAACTTTAGTTCAACAAAAAAGTTATGTTGAATATGAGTTATAGTGTAACATGCATTTCTCGATCAGATGACTGGGCTTATGAACTAACATCGTTACTTTGAGTCGTTTATTGGTCAATAATATTATTTTTTACTATATTATCATGTTCAAATTCCATAAATATTACAGCACTCCTGTCGTATTCTCTCAAAAAATATGTAAATATAAAATGATGATTTTTTTGTTTTTACAAAATATAATTTTATGAGCTAATTTTTGTCTTTCAAAAATATGAAATCATAATATAAAATTTTCAAATCCAAGTTTTGAAAGATTCAAGATTTCATCTCTTATGAGATAAATTTCACATATCCAAACTTCGATTTTATTTCATGATTTTAAATCATGAAATAATACCACATATCCAAACGCCTAGTAAATATCTTTACGTCAAACGAAGAAATTGATTCGAAAAAAGAAGAAGTGATGAAAGTGAAATTTAAAAGGGTATCCCAAGGCTGGCAAGATAGGTACATGGGCAAATTTGGATGTTTGTGTTTGAAAATGACTCTTCAATTTAGATTTTATAAGAGTTGTCCCTTAATTTATGGAAGACTCCCTACTTTTGTGGTTCGATTTCTTCCACGTTCATAAAAAGGTTTTAATGCACCTTTTAGAATGCAATCATGTGTATAACTATATAAAGACAAAAAAAAGAGTAGTAAAATATATTACATCAAATTATCATGAACAGTACACCTATGTCTTCTTTTGTAGTAAGAAAAGGTTCATGGACTGAAGAAGAAGATTTCCTCTTGAGGAAATGTATCAACAAGTATGGTGAAGGAAAGTGGCATCTTGTTCCCATAAGAGCTGGTAATTAAACTAACTACCACGCTATTTTATCTGTTTGTTTTATTTTATGTGACATTCTTTGTAAAATAATGTGAAAATGTATGTGCAGGTCTGAATAGATGTCGGAAAAGTTGTAGACTGAGGTGGCTGAATTATCTAAGGCCACATATCAAGAGAGGTGACTTTGCTCCGGATGAAGTGGATCTCATTTTGAGGCTTCATAAGCTTCTAGGAAACAGGCATGCAAGTTTATGTTTTGACAAATTTGATTAATATAATATATATGTGTGACTATTTCATCTAAACGTTATGTTATTTTACGTAGATGGTCACTTATTGCTGGTAGACTTCCAGGAAGGACAGCGAACGATGTGAAAAACTATTGGAACACAAACCTTCTAAGGAAGCTAAATACTACTAAAGTTGTTCCTCGTGAAAAGATTAAGAATAAGCGCGGAGAAATTAGTACTAAGATTGAAATAATAAAACCTCAGCCTCGGAAATTCATATCAAACACAAAGAGGAATATTACAAACAATATTGTAATTGTGGACAAGGAGGAACATTGCAAAGAAATAATAAGTGAGAAACAAACTCCAGATGCATCGATAGACAACGGAGATCAATGGTGGGAAAATTTACTGGAAAATTGCAACAACGTTAACGACGTTGAAGGAGGAGGAGGAGGAGGAGGAGGAGGAGGTGTAACTAATTATGAAAAAACACTAACAAGTTTGTTACATGAGGAAATAACACCACCATTAAATGGTGGAGGTAACTTCATGCAACAAGGACAAAGTGATGGTGGGATGATTTTTTTGTTGATATTGATATATGGGATCTACTTAATTAAAGAGATATGTAATGGCAATATTATTGTAAACTTGTAATAGGGATACATTTGTTCTTTGGAGTAATTTGTATCCCTACAAGAAGTTGTTAGGAAAGTAATGTTCTCTATTTTCTATTAATTAATAAGGGCATGTATTGTGATTCACTACCCTGGCTATATATTTGCTACATCTTTATGTTATTCTCTGGTCCATATTAAGTAAATTATTGAGATATTTTGATAGTTCAAAATAAGTGAATTATTCAAAGTTCAAGAAAAATATTAAGACTTTTTCCTCCAATTACCTAACGGTAGGAGTGTGCATCAATCCGTTTGGTTCGATTTTATATATTATCGGTTTGTGTATTGGTTTCCAGTTTTTAAATACGTTAAATCAGCATCAAATCAATAAGATATTTTTTTATCGGTTTTGACCCTTAACATTTTGATTTTTAGTTTAACCAATAAGAAAATACTTACAAAACAAACATACGACTTCTTTAATAAATTTGACGCGACAATAATGTAACTTTACAAATGCTCATAAAATAAAAACAATTATAACAATCATGAAAAGAACTATACAAGTATAACACAAAGAAATTAAGCGGAATAGGGTTCTTACTTTAGATTTTGACGTTTTGTATAATGTGAAGTTGTGAATTCAAAGTTATTGTAAAGTGTGAATTGAAGGCTAAAGGACAAAGACATAACTAGTAATGTAATGAAATTAATATATATTATTTATGTACAAGTAAAAGTAGTAAATCAATACCGAACTGGATTATCGATTATCCAATAGCACAATATTATAAATCAATACCGAACTGATAACTTAGTAACTTTTTTTATAAAACCCGTTTATAACCGCTTAATAACACTTTTTCGGTTCGGTTTATCGGTCGATTCGATTTTTGCACACCCCTACCTAACATGTCGTTATATTTAATGAGATTCTTAATTATTCCATGTGTTCACTTTTATTTGTCAATTATTTCAAAAATAGATTTTTCATTTTTACTTGTCACTTTTAAAAAATCAAGAAAAAAAAATTCTCTATGTTTTATCATTTGTGTTAATTACTTATCCTCAAATCATTTTTCAATATATAACATCAATTAATAGGAGTGGTGTGTCCTAACTAGCCATGTTAATTATTATTTTTTAATGATTGTGTTAAGTCTGAATGTAACAAATAAACATAAACCAAAAATGTATTTTACATTTTCTAAGGTAAGAAAATAGATTGAAAATAATATAAAAAATAAAAACAGACAATACCTTTAATTTATATACTTCAATATTTTTCTTTTAACAGTTATATTATATCATGAACATTCACTTAATATGGACCGAAGAGAGTACATATGCTTTTGTGTTTTATGGTGTCCAAGTTAATGAAAAAAAGGATAACACTAACTGTTCCCTTTTTTGGCCAAGAAAAAAAAACAGATATACAAAAGTAAAAAAAATATTTACACACTCATGTATACTACTATACAAAAATTAACTTTGTTTTCTTCGTTAAATTCAAGAATCAGATTTATTCAAAATACCTCAAAATATACACTAAGTCAACCTAGATTTCAGATTTTAATTTCCTTAATACTTTTCCGATTTTTTTTTTTTTTTTTTGTAGTTATACTCATTCAAAACGTCATAAAAATCTAATTTTCAAAATTCAAAATTTTGAGCTACAATAATATCTACCTAAGCATTCAACTCCAAGCACGTTTTTTTTTTACCAGTCAATACTTATTGTCCAGTCATAATACTTTTTAAAAATAGTTGTTCAATATAATATTACGCTAAATTCAATAAGTTGATTTAATAATATTGAAATAGTATTAACTTGTTGGAGTGCTTGAAATTTGAAGAAGATATCAAAAGGCAAATTTAATCTTTTTATAGCAATATATTTTGTGAGAATGTTTGACCATTTGAGAGACTTCAATATATTTAATAGTAAGAGAATAAAATAGTAAAAGAGGAATAAAAAAGATAATTATAGAAATGATGATATGAGTTCATATTAATCGTCATACAAATGATGCAACAAAATATGTAGCCACATAAAAATTAATAATACTATAATTACCTAAACACTATTTCATTCCATAATTATTAGGAATAAGGGTCTAAAAAATATCCAACTTTGGTCGAATTTACTGTTGTGATACTAAACTTTCATGAGGACCTATTACCTCCCTAGAGTATTTAATACCGTATTTTAAATATATATATTTGCCCACGTGGAAATAAAAAGTAATGCAAAATTATAAATAGTAAAGTGTCCACGTGGACACATATATACCTTTAAAATACACTATTAAATAATTCAGGGAGTAAAAAATACACTATTAAATAGTCTAGGGAGGTAATATGTCCTCATGAAAGTTTAGTATCGCAACAACAAATTCGACCAAAATTAAGGTATTATTACTACAATCCTCATATTAAATTATATAAAATTTATTATATTTTCTATCCAAAAATTTCTTTTCAAGTTTAACACACACACTCACAAGTGGGTATCCTTTTTTAAAAAAGGTAAAGTCCTCATCAAAAGAAATAAATTTTAAAAAAGGGAAACATCATTGTAGAGGTTTGTTTACGGAACCAGGACATAGTAGGGCAATTTGCTAAGAATGAGATCATTTTTTGTGCTATTTCCAATTACCTGGTGCGGATCGTTTGGTGTGACATATAAGGTATAATAGTTTTAGGGATAAAATGCAGGATTATTTTATTCTGCGTTTGGTTGAAGGTAACAGGCAGTCATGAGATTATTCACCCCATCATAACATCATTTATACCTTAGTGATGGGAAAAGTTATCCTATATACATGGTGGTTGGATAACTTATCCCAGAATAATTTATGCCATGATAATTAATTCTTCGATAACTTGTTCCCAATCAAACAACCCTTACACATATATTTTGGACCAAAAAGTTAAACAGAGAGCATTGTTATTTTATTTATAATTAACTCAAATGTACGTGTGTGCATAATGATAATGAAATGGCATTGTATTTAGTGGCGAATTCAAGATTTTCATTCAGGGGTTCAAAAAATAAAAATATAAACGTTTAAATAAGCCAACAATTTTTTTTTCAAGGAATGGGACCCTTCAAAAAAACTGAAACTAAAATAGTAAAAAGTAAAATGCTAACCAGCGGATTCGAACCCTGGACGTAACTCTTTGTTATGAAGGAACCTGCCGCTGGGCTATCTCGTTTTCCTTGTCATTGAGGGGGTTCAAAATATATATATTCACATAAATATAGAAAATTTACCTTATATATACAATGTAATTTTTTACCGAGGGGTAAACCCCCTGGAACACATGTGGGTCCGCCCCTGATTGTATTCACGCTTAATAAGTGTATCACGCATTTAATAAGCATATATGCGCATATACATTAATATTTCTTCCTAATTGTACTTGAATAATATCTACACATGCTTTTAATTCAAAAATAAAAAAATCAAACTTAAATGACTTTTAAGTCAAAAAATAAAAAGTAGGGAAAGACCTACTTTTGGTTTTTAACTTATTTTAAGTCATTTTAAACTTATTTTACGTTATTTTTAACCTTGTCAAACACTTTCTAACTTATTTTAAGTTACTTTTATATTTGTCAATTGCAAACACTTCCAGAAGTTAAAAAACTAACTTAAAAATAGGATTGACCAACTTTAAAATCAATCCAATTCAAACACCCTCTAATATATGTATTTAAACATATACAATATATCTTTCTAATTATATTCGAACAATATCTTTGTCTAATTGTATTCATGCGGTTAACAAGTGTATCTTCATATATCTTCTATGAAATAATCTTAGTAGGAGTAATCTTGGCTTGGACGTTACTGAGCAACCATGGTTCAAACTATGTATTTGTCTTAAAAATTTATTAAATATGTAAAAAATATTATTTTAGAACTCAGTAGTTTAAAGGATTATAATTCAAAACCTATTAACTATAGATTCTTACTTTAAATTGATTTCTACTCCAAATATGCCTTGGCCCCTTGTTACTTTATCTTCAAAGTGAAACTCCCATGTGAAAATCTAAATTAAGAAAAAGAGAAAACTCCAAAATATAAGAAGAAAAAAAGAGAAAACTCCAAAATATAAGATTGACATTTTTAACAATCTTTTATGGGCTTTCATGTTGGATTTTTCTGTGAAGGAGGAAGAGAAAGGGTACCAATACACAGAGTTGTAGCAATCATAAACGTTTTGTCCTTACTTGATAATAGAAACAAACAGCTCTTTTACATTTGCCGTATTCGTGCTCAGAAGTATCATATTGAGAGATAAAACGTTTCGTATTAAAAACAATTTTGTGTCTAGAACAATTCAAATTTGATATCTCTAATTAAGGATGAAGAACTAGTTACCATGCCACTATAATTCTTGTTAAGAACAAATTTGTATATAATTTTTCACACGCTTCTTAGATGTCTCTCTTGATTTATTTATTTATTTCGTGTTCAAGTTAATTAATTAGTCTAGAAAAGTGAAGAGTGAAGACCAATTGAAACATTAAATATATGAAAATATTTTACAAAAAATAGGAAAATAATTAAGAGTACAAGATTATACTACTAAAATATATTATTTTTTACTAAATAATTTTTCATATATATATATATATATATATATATATATTGATTGAATCGATGAAAAAAATAGTAATGTTTTCATACAAAAAAAAATTAAGAGAAGTTTCCCACTATATCAGGAAGAATCTATTTTCCACTAATCCATTTTTCCAGTGAACTCCTTTCGTGAAAAATAAATGGGTAAATCAAGTTTCATAACATGAATTTCTTGCTGACTCGTGATGAAAAAAACATTTGTTTCTAGTAGTGTTATAAGGCATAGAAATGTTGTCGTTCTACCATATTTAAAGAGGAAACTTTAATTTATACTCGATCGTACCAATTTTTGTAAAGATGTTTGACTGAGAAGAAGTTTAACAATGAAAGAAGTAATTTTGTAATTTA